CCCCCCAACCAGGAGAGTGCTACTGACTGAAGTTGTCTTTAGGCCATTCCCAAAGGGGGATATTAACATGTTCTTATGAACAGTAGAATTCTAAATGGGCTGATTTATCAAAGTCATGCTCATACTGCGCCAAAACAACAAAAAGGGAACTGCTGATTTTTCTTTCCTCATCCTTACTATCGTCATTTTACCTCTACTTCTTTTGTATGTTTGTCACTCTCTTGTGAACTGCTATTTCCGGGGTGCCTTGACGGTCCAAGCAGACTTTGTGCTGTTGAGGCTAGAGAGGTGAGCAGAGTAAGTCTGATTCCCTGTTTGGACTTCTCTGTTGACATCCACCCCTTGTCGCTTATATGACCTTAAGCAGTTGCGAGTGCCGTGAAACCTTACAAAAAAAAACTAAACTGTTATACAGGTAGCCGTTAGAGCAGGTTCGACTGTGATAAATTCCGCCGGCTGGCACGTCCACTCACACAAAAAGCACATCTGTGTAGCCTTAAAGTTTCAGATCGGCGTGCGAATTGGGTACAGCAGGCCAACATACCTGATATCATCAACATCCAGTGCCAGATCTGGGGCAAACATCAGCGATCATGGCTTTCCATTCATTCCTTTGCTCGGATGCTCTTGAAAAAACTACATTTGCCAGATCTTTCCTGTAGCTGTATTATTAGTATTACTCTTATTCAGTTCATGTCCTATCATCATTATCACTCGGCGCCCCTTGGGGACTCATGCGAGTAGTTTCACTTGTCACTGCGGTCACTCAGTATTTCATTTCGTTCTGCATCACTTATCTTAATTGTGTCTTCCATTTCATTTCAGTTGATGTCGTCATCACTTGTACCCTCATTGAATCATTAAAAGTTCATCGACGTTATCCGACAAGTGATGAGTCATTCTCTATGACGTACCATTTGTTCCCTAAGTAAGTTGCTCTGGGCCTACCCCTGCCTCGTTTGCCGACCGGATAATATTAAGGCGACAAACATGCCGAATGCGCGTGTTTCAACGCCCCTAACGACACAATTGAAATCATTTAGGAGGCGGGCTTCGACCCCTGCAAGTCAGGACCAGTCCAAGCTGAGAGGGATACAACATCCCAGTAGTAAGACCGAGATACTCGCTACAAAAAGAAAAAAACAACAACAACAAAACCAAACATTTTCCCCACTCGGGAATCGAACTCGAGTCTCCTGCGAGCAACAGCGAGGTGCCTAACCGCTATACCACGGCCGCCGGTCAGTTACGTGCGCCAGCGTTTTGACTTTGCTACAACAGCCCAAAAAGCATCGAAAACTCTAGTCAGCTTTCGTATCGGTCAGTCTGTCTGTCTGTCTCTCTCTGTCTGTCTGTCTGTCGCTCTTCCTCATACAAACGACGAGAATGGCAACCACTGACACACATCTGCTTTACAAAATAGTTGCCACAAACATACATGAGTGCGATACCCCCCCTTCCCAACCTCCAAAGACAAAAAAAGTATGTACAGAAAATCTAGACCAGCACCAGCACTGGCCAACATGCACACTAGCTAAGCATCTGCGAGTGGGTGTGGGACAGATAGAATAAAACGAGTATAAGTAGGAAGATGGACAGACAGCCTGACAGAGATAGATGGATGGATAAATAGAGAAAGAGCAAAACGCGCTAGGAGAGAGAGAGAGAGAGAGAGAGAGA